TTGATTCAGGGATAGTCAACCCTATTCCAGCCCACGCAAACTTTGAGCTTAAACCAATGATGTTCCAAATGTTGCAGACAATTGGACATTTTGGAGGGCAGGAACATGAGGATCCACATGATCATCTGAAATCATTCATTCAAATTGCAAATGCATTTCGATTACCTGGTATAACAGACGATGCTCTGAGACTAACACTTTTTCCATTTTCTTTGAAGGACCAAGCTAGAGCATGGCTCAATGCATTTCCACCGGGATCCATCACCACATGGGGGTCGTTAGTGGAGAAGTTCTTAACAAAATTCTTTCCACCTACTCGCCACGCTGATATCAGAGAGGAGATCATCTCCTTTAGACAATATGATCGTGAACCTGTTCACGAGGCGTGGGAGAGATTTAAAGAACTAATCAGGAAATGTCCGAACCATGGCTTGCCGGCATGCATCCAGATAGAACATTTCTTTAGAGGTTTWGATCATCCTACTAAGATGATGCTAAACAATGCTGCCAACGGAGCCTTTACAAAGAAGACATTCAACGAGATAGTTGACATCCTAAATGACTTAGCTTCACACAACGAACTATGGTGTTCGCAAAGATCTAGGGCAGCACCAAAGAAGCAAGATCCAGCTGGAGTTTTGGCTCTGGACATTGCGACCTCGATGCAAAAAGAKATGGTTACAATGAACCAGAGGCTGAAAGAGATGGCATTGGGAATAAAAAATCCATTAGCCACGCCGATACAACCTGTGCAGTCGGATTATTGCACTCCTGCCCCTGTTTGCCAAGTCAACGATCTCATTTGTTCATTTTGCAGTGAAAACCATATYTATGATAATTGTCCACATAACCCTGCTTCCGTTTTTTATGTAGGACATGGGAACAATAGGAACTTTAACCCATATTCGAACACCTACAACCCAGGTTGGAGGCACCACCCTAATTTCTCATGGGGAGGACAAGGAGGTTCGAGCGGTTTTAATCAAGGGCAGAGCCAACAGAACAAGCAGCCCTATGTTCCACCTACACARCAATACATCCCACCACCGCAACGGCAGTACAATCAGAGAACACAGACTCCACCAGTTCACAATAACAACTCAAATCTTGAGAATATGATGAAGGAGTACATGGCCCGAAYCGACGCAGTGATACAATCCCAARCGGCATCAATGAGGAATTTTGAGACCCAATTRGGACAMCTTGYCAATGAATTGAAGAATAGACCACAAGGTTCTTTTCCAGGCCATACTGAATTACCAAAACGAGAAGGGAAAGAACAGTGCAAAGCTGTCACCCTCAGGAGTGGACTGGCATATGATGGACCAACAATGCCAACAACAGATGTACAGATTCCGTCCACTGAACCAATTGTAAAGATACCAGAWAATCCAACAACACCAGAAAAAGAAAATATTAGAAAAGGTAATGAGGACACCCCGAGTGTTCCTCCACAGGTACAGCCTTCTTTTACCCCTACTCCCCCGTTTCCACAAAGATTAGTTAAGCAAAATAATGATTCCCAGTTTAGAAAATTTTTAGATATTTTAAAACAACTGCATATAAATATACCATTAGTAGATGCTCTAGAACAGATGCCAAATTATGCTAAGTTTTTGAAAGATATAGTTTCTAGGAAGAAAAAAATAGGAGAGCATGAACTGGTAGCCATGACAAAATGTAGTAGTGAAGCTGTAGGCAGCCCGCTACCCATGAAATGTAAT